AGGAGGAGGATTACGATGAGGAGGAGTAGGAGGAGGAGGAGGAGGAGGAGGAGGGAGGCGGATATATGGAGGAGGAGGAGGAGGAGGAGGAGGAGGAGAAGGAGGAGGAGGAGGAGGAGGAGGAAAAGGACTCTTCTGTTGGGAATCCTGGAACTCGTGGCCATTTATTTGTGTCTCCCTGGGCCCCCCGAGGAGAGTCCGCGCTGGGCGCGCTTCCTCGCGGCCCTGTGCGCCGCCTCTCCGCCCACCCGCCGTGGCTGCGGCGGCTGCGGGTGGGTCTCGCTCACCGACCCGGAGATGCCGGTGGGCCAGTCACTCTCCACTGAGGTTTCTCCTCCTTCCTCCTCCCTCCTCCCTCCTCCCCCCTCCCCCTTCCCTCCTTTCTTCCTATTGTTCGTCTTCTTCGCCTTCGTGTTCTTCTTCTTGTATTTAATATTTTCATTATTCTTATTATTCTTTGTAACTGTTATCATTACTACTATTATTGTTCGTCTTCGTATTCGTATTAAGACTAGTATTATTATGCTTATTCTTTGCTTACAAAAACTGCTCTTAGTAGCATTTGTCTTACTGTTCGTATTATTTGTATTGCTTTGCTTCCTAGTGCAATCGGTATTCTTATTACTCTCCTTCATGATATCAGTATTGTTGTTATCAGTATCGTTAGTATTAGTAGTATTGGTTTTCAGCTTATTATTCTTTGTATTCCTTACAGAGCGAGGCGCCCGCTGCGGTCTTCTACGACTTCCAGGCGGCATTCCCGTCGCTCGCCCACGACTTCTTGATGCGCACGCTCCGCCAGCTGGGACTGCCGCCGTCGGTGTGCGGATTCGTAGAGAGCCTTTATTGGGGGCACGGCTGCAAGCTTTCCGTTGGAGGCCGACTACACCAAGGTTTGCGGATTCAGGCAGGCATCCGGCAGGGTTGCCCGCTATCGCCATTATTGTTTGCCGTTGTTGTCGACCCACTGCTCCGGAGATTGGCAAGGGCAGCGCCTGCGGCGACAATCCGTGCTTACGCAGATGATCTCGTGACGGTGCTTCCTGATTTGGGTGGGGCGCTTCCTTCGCTGGTCCCCCTGTTCAGCACGTTCGCGGCGGCGTCGGGCTTGCGGCTAAATTTTCGGAAAGTGGTTGTCGTGCCGCTCGGCGATCAGGCTCCCCAGGAGGTCTTGGCCGACATCGCCGCCCGCTTCCCCGCGTGGGGGCTCGTGCAATGCCCGAGCTGGGCGAGATATCTCGGCTTCGTCCTCGGCCCCGGCCGCGAGGAGCGGAGCTGGGGCACAGCCGTGGAGAAAGCTCTGGCGCGCGCTCGCCTATGGAAGAACATTGCACTCGGGCTGCAGTTCGCGGCTGTGGTCTACCGCGTCTACATCGCCTCCACTTTGGGCTTCCTGCTGCAGCTGGACGCATTGCCCGCCAGCTGGCCTACTACCGAAGCTCGCTTGTTTCGCGCGTTGGTGCCGGGCCCTTACAATCGGTGCACGGCTTCGGATTTCCACGGCCTGCGAAGGGATTTCGGGTTCCCGCAGGAGTTCGTTAACCTGCAGCTCGTCTCCCTGGCAGCGAAGTTCCGCGTCCTGCACAGAGAAGCTGGCGCTCAGGGTTGTCTGCGGTGTCGTGCCTGGCTCCGGAGACTGGCGTCAGCAGAAGCCACGTCGCCGCGCATTGTGCGCGGGGCGAGATGGTCTACTTGGTTCGAGACGTCGTTTTGCAATTTGATTGTCTCGGCAGCGGAGAGCGTCCGGCAGGCTGGCATCTCCTTGGCGATAGCGCAGGAGCGAGCGGCGGGCTCTGCGGTGCGACCGTGGACGCAGGCACAGGCAGGCCGATCCGTCACGGGGCTTCAGCGTGCGACTTGCGACTTGCTGCAGGAGCGAGACCAGCGCAGCCCTGAAAGCCGAATGCGAGCCAAGCTTGAGCAGTGGGTGGTCCCACTATTTCCCCGGCTACGTGCGCAACGTGCCGTGGCGATGCTGCGGCGACTGACGGCCCTGGTGCCCCCTCGCACGACAGCAGCAGTCATCAGCACTCTTTGGTCAGGATGGTGCACCAGCCGCCGATATGGCTGCAGAAGGGCTTGCTTGTACTGCGGGATGGAGGACGGCGACTCGGTGGAGCACGCTTCAGTATGCGTCTGGCACGATTTGGTGCAAGGTATCTACGTCTTCCGTACGTCTCGGAGGTTGGGCCGCGGCGTCTTTCTTTCTTGTTGTTGGGGCCGCCGTCGGAGCTCACATATGTGCGCTTGACGCTGGGGGCTTTGCTGGTGGCTGCGGCGTACCGCTTGCATTGCCGCTTTCGCAATCAGCGAGCGGAGCTGCGCGGGGGGGAAGCAGTTCGCCGAGCTTTGGAGCACGCAGTCAAGGAAGCCGTCCAGGGCAACCACGGCGCCACCACCATCTTCGACACAAGGTGGACGTGACCATGGGCTGCAGCTTGAAAAGGTTTTCATCAGCATTCGTAGACCGGAATTTTCGGCCACGCTCGCAGGACACTTC